GAAGTCATTAGGATCTTCCCTTCTGTGTACTAGACCTGCGAAGTTGCGTAGAAGCAAAGCAAAGCTCCTTGTTCTGCGCATCCTTCTACTTCCTAGCGCAACCAGGTATTTACAGGAACCATTAAGTAAGCACAAATTGGCCTCTCTGTAGAATGGAGAAAAACATTTTACCTGGGGGAAAAGAGATCAGTCATTGTCATCCACCTGTAAACAAGTGCCCTTTACGGTATTTCATATTCATAAAGCAACTGGATTAAGATGAGACTTGATTCCCATTCTAGGAACATGGCATTCAGGCAGTCATTGCAGATATTCTGTCTTGATTATGCTGAGAATGATTAGAGATGCTTCCAATCAATATGAGCTACCCAGCTCTCAAATTAGATATATTCTTCAGTACCTGAGGGATCTTGGATCGTCTATTATGTAATACTAATTCTATTTTATCTTGAAAACAGAATCGTGAAGAAGGAAAGTGCTTTTTGCCCACTGTTTTGTGCAACAGTGTACTGTATATTTTTAAATTCTGTTTTACCTAGGAGCCTTTGTTTAGTGTTTTAGTCACGACTGATAATACAAGATGTGTGTGTGAGGTTTTGAAATTAGCTTTAAGAAAATGGTTTGGTGAAAGGAAGACTCCCAGTATGTTCTCCTGTTAAAAAAAGGAGAGTATGTTCTCCATTAAAAAATAAAGTTGAAGCAGTTATGCAAGGCTTACCATTTCTAGCTTTATAATAGTCTGCTCTACTGTCTGTCGTCTGTGCATCCATTGATGGTGCTGTGCTGTTATTAGGAGGTAAAGCTAAAGTCCTTTAGCTTTAATCTACAGTGACTTTTTTTATTTTCTCTTTGTTGGTAGTTTTGGAATCCTGCTGAGCTGCACTATAATTTTTGACTTCAAAACAGTTTTTTTAAAAATCAATTTAAATATGAATCTCATTTCTAACTTTTTTTTTAAAAAAATATTTTTAATAAAGATCTTCTGCTAATGGATCTGGCTTTTAAAAGGTGAGAGGAAAAACTAATGACAGGATATTTTCCAGACCCCTAATTGAGTTTTTTTTTATATGATGGTTTAAACTAAATATGCTAGTAACAAAGTGAACAAAAGAATGAATGTGCAACAGATTTTATCCCGAAGTTCCCAACAGACTTTTATTGCAGCCCTTGCTGCCCCTTCCCCCGTCCCACCCGCACGGATGAGCCTCCCGGTGCCCCACGCAGGCTGTGAGCCCTGTGCAGGTTTGGACAAGGCCAGGCCCGGGTTGGCCTCTCGGCACTGGTGCAGCCCAAACCCTCTGCCTGCAGCTGCCCCGGCCGCTGCGTCTCCGCAGGCACCGCTTCCCTCCGCTCACCCTGGCCCCGGTTCAGTTGCCGCTTTTGTCAGTTTGCTTTCTCTTTTGTCATGTTTCTTCCAGTTTTTAAGGGCTTCTTTGCAGTAGTTGGTGCTTTATAGAAAGAACATGTCATGCAGAGCCAGAATGCACTAACCTCTCTTTTCTCCCCCCTTCCCTGCCTCTGGTTGTTGTCCTACTCCAAGGCATTCTGAACTGCTGCCTCTTTGTGGAAGCACTTGGGGATATAGATTTTCCATCACCAAAGCTTTATGTCAGAGAATGTAGCATCAAGGGAAAGATGTTTTTTCCTTTTACAGATGAAAGAAAATTGCTTTGTTTTCATATTCCCAAAAGGCCAAAGCAACTTGCTGTCAAAATAAAAATCTTTGTTCGTAGTCTTCCTGTTCTCTCCTCCTAGCGTATTAATAAGATTTGAACATTTATTTGAAATCTAGGCTTGCTAAGCAAATAAAAAACTTCAGCTAGCCATGGACAACCTCCTTGCATTAACTCTCTAGACCCAACAGTTACCTGTGATAAGCCCTTATTTTATTCTGAAGATGGATATCTTGTTGTTCCATTGGATGTATTTGCTGTGAAGTATTGGAAAAACACCAAAACTCAAATATCAGATGAACTGACATTCTTTTCATGTTCTTGGCTGACTGGTGCTATAAAAAAAGATGCAGACAGGCAAGTTTTGGAGCTTTGCAAGAGCTTTCCATAGCGCCAGAAATGGTTCCTGCCCTGTAGCTGGGAGGCGCTGAGCCCTGCGGCGCGCTGGGCACCTCTCCGTAAGCAATTGTCTGCCCACAGCACAAAGAGTCCAACGCTATCTGGGCTTGTTAAGTTAATCATGACATTACTAGCTCTCATCCTTCTGGCGTCATTTTTTATTAATAGCTTAGAAGATGGAAAGCACTCATTCCAGTGGCTTTGCAAGCTCAGATTAAATAGCTCAAAACCGGGAATGATTTTAAATCTTTTAGCTAACGAGAAACCAAAAGCAATTAAGGCAGGAGTGCAGTGAATAAAAACAGTGAATTTGGAGAGAAATGTTTACGTCCTCCATTATAAAAACAAATTGCCAAATACCTATCACTTCATTTTATTTGTGACCTGTGTTTTGTGTCATCTGTTTTACTCTAGATGCATATGCAATTGCTGAATTTTTTATTTTGTTGCTTTTGCTGTATTAATCTATTGCAATAGATAACAATAAATTTAAGAGTTATCAGAAACTTATTTTCAGAAGAAAAATGTATTCAATTCTGAAGACTTCATTTTAAAGATTGTTTTTAAAACCATTCTCCACTGTTACTTTTTTTTCTTCTTTTTAGTATATTAACTGAAGCAAGGATGAGGAAAGCTCTTTTTTCTCTTTTATGGTCCTAAGAATCAAGCTCATTAGTTAATGGGTGATCCTGTTCCCAGTGTTTGGTGTAGCTGGGATATGAAGGGCTAGGACCCTCTATGATCAAAAGATCAATAATTTCAGTAGCAGGAGTGAAGACAGGAAAACACAAGAATAAAACGTGTAGCTTTAGGGCTAGATGATTTGAATAAAAAGTTTCATACAATTTCTAGTTTAAAAATACCCATCTTAGAGCCAAAATTATTTGGACTTCTAAGTTAATTTTCAAAGCTCATTTATGGATTGGGATTTATGGATTAATGATATCTTTGGTTTCAGTTCATTGGTTCGTAAACATGCAGACTGTAAAACTTGCAAAAGTCCTTTAATGTTCTGTATGTGCATATACTTTGGCACAAAAAAGTGAAACTTTTTGTTCCCTCACATAAAGCAGTATGATGTTTTAAACATCATGTGTATCATACTCTTTGAAATATGAAAAAAATCACAAATACTTAATGAATTTAGCTGACTGAGTGCTCTGGAGGTCTAAAGCACTGAAAGGCTTTATGAAATATGAAAAAAATCACAAATACTTGATGAATTTAGCTGACTGAGTGCTCTAAAGCACTGAAAGGCTTTGATGTGGAGTCCTAAACTTTCTGCAGGAAACCACTTCCTGGCCTAAAAATGAATTTTTGCAATTAATTTTTTAAGCATGTTGCAACCCATTGTTTAGGAATAGCTTCTTTAATTCCTAGCTATTCATTTTAATGCTGCCTTTGCAATTTTTTTGCACAATGCCTTATTGTGAATGGAGTCTTGGCTCTACCAAGATATCCGAGTGGATTCCTCACCAGACATCTGAGTGGATCAGGAATTGCTGTAAAACTCACGGACAGAAGTTCCTTGTGAACTCAAATAGAGGCATTTTGGAGGTAGGGATGTGGCTGCATTGTAGGATAGGTGGAACCGTGTGTATGTTAATGGTGTTTGCCCTTGTCTATATGTCAGGTGGACAATTCGCCAATGGGATGCTACTATTAATGACAAAAACGGCGAGTTAAGTGCTAATACCCATGTCATGTGGATACTGTAATTATTGATGAAAACAATTCTTCCCCAGGCAAGTTTGACTACCTTCGAATGAAAAAAAAAATATATCTAAACTTGCTTATCAAGTTTTGGTACTGAAACTGTACATACATGGCCAGCTTTATGAAGCTGGAAAGTATGAAGCTCTGATGAAGCTTTATGAAGCTCTGATGTAAATCTTTCTTCATTAATAGACTTTCATAGCTTTTTACAGTGAATCAATATATTTAATATATTTTCGCATATTCAGGATGGACATTCAGGAAAATGTGTAAATGTAAGCTTAAAATAGAGGTGCCTTTGGCCTCCAGATATGACTTTTTTAAAGCTTTTTATTATTTGATGATACATATTTTGAAATGTATGTATTGTGACCTTTAATAGCTGCTCTAAGTAGGTATACCAAGTCTGTTAAGATATACAAAACTTAAAAATTTTCACCGGAATGTGTTTTTAGCCTAAATGACGTTCTGAACAGAGTAAATTAAACTAAATAACGGAGTGAAGTGTTTTCTATGGTTGCCTAATTCCTTGAATTTTCTGCATTGCATTTTTTTAATGGGTAATTTAAAAATTTAAAATTATCAAAAATTGAAACTTGCTATTTGCCAAAAATGCAGTTTATTTTGTTTCCTCTCCCATAAGACACTGTTTTTTGCTTTCTTGAATCTATCCCCATTTCAGTGCTACCAAAAGTATAGAAAAATAAAATGTTCTCTCTGCCGCCCTTAGACCTGTGAAACACAGATCTATCCCACAGCACAAAATACCCCTCTTTCCAGCGGTTTGTATAAACTGGTTTTCTGAGACTTTCTGATCTACAAGACCCAGATCCGAGCAGTGCCATTCCTGAAGCAGCTCCACAACGTGAGTAGGAGCTTTTAGAAAGGGACCAGAAGTGACTACTTGCAAGAAGTTTGAAACAGCATATCCAGCTATAGCAGATGTGCAGTCTGTTAATATCAGTAGGATATAGGACACTGTACATGTGCCACCAATAGTACTTTGATCAAGAAATTGTTGTGTGTTACACCTTTGTTTCCTGAAAAAAATAATCTTTTAGTGCAGTGCAGAAATGATAAAGTTATTTGAAAATAACTGAAAGAATCCCAGTTTGCATCAAAATGGAATAGAAAAACTTATGCTTGGGAACATTGTCATGATAGAGAGCATTTAAGAACCATTACGTCTTGTTTTGTTTGTTTGTTTTTAAGCTGGACCTGTGATCTGCAGAATGCTAACATACCCTCCAACTCGAAGAGCCTTAATTGTGGGTTGTGGTCTGCAGATGTTTCAACAGCTGTCAGGCATTAACACCGTCATGTATGTATTTATTGCTTTCTTCTCTTTCTAAAGTATAAAAGCAGACAGAGCAATAGCAATTGTTCATGGCAACCCAGAGAAAATCTGAAATGAGAAAGCAACTGAGTGAATGAGCTGAATGTCTGGTTTTAAATTTACATTTTTACATTCTAAGCATTTCAAGAGGTTGCTAATGCAGGGATAGGCATTTGTGTAGAGATGACAATGCAGACTATAGCAATGTGCAGATGTGACATTGTATGTTATATGTTACAATCAAAGATACATGTATACGTCTAGATCAGAAGCTGCTCTTGTAGATTAGGCCGGTGTGAAAATAGCTCAAAATACAGTGGCTGTTGACCATGTACAAGATGGAAAATGGCTATGAAGTGCTTAAGGAGGTAACATATGCCAAGGAAAGAAACATGTTCCATTATTATATGGTTCCATTACCTGTAGGAAGACTCAGTAAATGTAGAGATGAAGACAACTTTTGTTTCATTTTGTCTTTATTTCCTTGTTTTTTGTTACTTTTATGGGGGAGTCAGTTCAATATGTTGCCAGCTCACAAGATAAGTAGCTCTTGGTAAACATGCAGTACAAGCAGCCTGGTTAATGATGAAGTTACTGTTGATCCAGTCTGCCCGAGTAACTCATAAATGCAATTTCTGTATTATTCTAAGAGCAAGTGTAAATATTACAGTAATGTCTTGTGAAGGGTTTTACATCTAAACAAGGAAGCTTGTGGGGAGGTAGTTAAAAGATGCAGCTAAAAGAGTAAAGCTTTCAGTGGTATCAAGAGATACCGTATTCAAAGTCTTAAGTACCAACAACCTGTCGTAAGGGGGGAAAAAACACACTCATTATTGTTAAACTTCAGAGAAGGGACATCTGTGACAGATAAAGGGAGATGCTTTACAAAGTAGAGAGTGTCCATAAGTGAGAAAAAACAGAGGAAAGCCTGACTGGTAAGTTAAGTGTGAAACCCAGCAGACAGGCAGGCAAGTGCTTTGATGAGTTCCTCAGGCCCATTAAAAAGGAGATCTAACAGTATGTCTAGGTCCAGTAATGATCCAGGCATAACAAGAACACTACCAAACGACAAATCTTTAGCAGCAAAGTTTATAAAAGTTTTTGTAGCATCTGTGCTAACAGTGGAACAAGTGTGGCCGTTCCCATGCTGGAGTTCACTAAAGATGTCTCAGAGGTCTGCTTCAAATTGAAAAGCCAAGGGGAAAAAGATCATGGAACAAACTGATGAAATGAATAATAACAGATTGCGTGGGCTAATCAGCCCATACCCAACAGGGAGTAATTCAAACACAAAATTATCAAATTTCGGACCTTTAGCAACGTAAATGTGTTGTTTAGATTGTCTGCCTATCAGAGGAGTTGCCCCCTTGCCCCTCCTCTGGAGAGGAGGAGTGTTGCGTTGAGTTACAGTGCAGAAAGTTTGAATCCTGTGCTGATCAAAAGTAGTTGAAATTGCTATGGAATGAAATTAGAAGTAAAGCTGCAAAGATGAAAAATGAATGTGCAGATGGGGAACATAAAATTATTACGAAGAGCCATAGACATCTTAGCTTCCAATCCACTGGAGATGTTTGAGTTGATATGATAGATAGAATCATATGAGCTCTTCATCCTAGTTCATGACAGGTGTTGCCAAAGATTCCTGAAGAAGAAACTGTCTTTAAGAAGTCCTCTCTTTAAACAAGTGCAAACCAGCTCGTACATGAGAAGAGATGTGCCTGTATATGAACAAACTGAGGAGGACTCTACAGCTTGGAAAAAGAACGGGGACAGGAGGAAGGATAGAAGCTTGTAAAACTACCAATGCTGTGGAGGAGATATGGAGGCTGTGCTTATTCATTGTTCCTCATAGCAGAGTTTTGTTGACCCCTATTTCTTAGCGTGCATTAGGTTTAAAATAAACAGGAGGAAACATTTCTTCAGGCAGTGTATAATTACATTGTGGAAATCATTGCCACAGGATGTTATGGATGCCAAAAGTGCAACTAAGTTTAGAAATTAATTTGGGAAACTCCTGAAGTGAAAATTATTATAGTATTATTAAACATACTGAGGATACAATCTGTAGCCTAGGACAGACACACTCACATTTTGGTTCCTCTTTGGGAAATCTTACTGTGGTAGAACAAGAAATGAACAGAAAGTTCACAAGGTTTGTGACATTGGTAGGCTGACTTTGCTTATCTTAAACTTCCAGTCCCTTACCATGCTCTATAAATAGTTTGGAATTAACCTAATAATGTATGTGTAGGAGGACAGAATTAAAACTATAAAATACAGTTGAATCTTAGCTTTAAATACAAAAATCCCTACAATAAACACACGAAGGCACTGTTGTTAAGGGACTGACTAATTTGTAAACCACTTGCAACATGCAATATTTTTTGTAATCTAGTTTAAGTTAGTTTGTATTTATCAGATTTTGAAAGCTAGGACTTTCCTATGAAAGGAAATTTTAGAAGTGAAAGGAAGCAACTGTCTTTTGTCTCCAGCAAGATGCTGTGCTTGCATATGAATTCACAGAATCACGGAATGGTTGAGGTTGGAAGGATCTCAGAAGATCACCAGGTGTAAGCACCCTGCTCAAGCAGGATCACCCAAAACACCTTGTCCAACACCATGTCCAGATGATTTCGGAACGTCTCCATGGAAGGAGACTCCACAACATCTCTGGGCAACCTGCACTCAGACACCCTCACAGTAAAGAAGATTTTTCCTCCTGTTCTCAAGAAACTGCCTGTGTTTCAGTTTGTGCCTGTTGCCTCTTGTCCTGTCATCGGGCACTGCTGAGAAGAGTCTGGCCCCATCCTCTCTTCACCCTCCCTTCAGATCCTCCTACACGCTAATCCTGACCCGCCTCGGGCTTCTCTTCTCCAGGCTCAAGAGTCCCAGCTCTCCCAGTCTCTCCTCAGGTGAGAGATGCTCCAGACCGTTCATCATCTTAATAGCCCTTCACTGGACTTCCAGCAACTCCATGCCTCTTTGAGAATGAAAACACCTGTATTATTATTGAACACTTACCCATATTTTTCTGTATGATGCACTGACTGACTGCTCTGTTTTAAAAAAAACAACTTTAACCAAAAAAAATCACACTGTTAAAGGTGGAATTATAGAGGCATTATAATACAGGAATTTTGCAGGGGTCTAAAAGTAATCACACACTGTCTATACTAAAAAGCACGAGAAAAGAAAAGAAACTAAAAGAAATCCATGCAAGTAACAGAAAAAAAAATGAAGATTCAAATTCTTAAGGGTTCATGGTCTGAATACTTTCAAGTTAAAACTAGAATATCAGTAGTGACCCCAGTGACCGCTGGATTCAACACAGTTCATGTATAATAGAGAATGCGAAAAGGAGAACAAAAGAAGTGCTCTTGGAAGAGTTATGGAGAACTGCTTTGTCCACACAGTTGATCTAGGTTGATGCTCAGAAAAAGTTTCTTGTTATATCTGAATCAGCTGAATATATATGTGACACTCAGAAGCTCTGGGCATGAGTAGGAAGGCAGCAGAGTGGAGAGCTGCATGCAGAGCAACTCCAGTTTCTGCTTTCTAAAAATAAGAAAGAAAATGTAAAAATAGGCTGAGGAGACGGTGACTCTTCAGAACAGATTCTAGCATGCTAAATTTAGTTAGTAAAAGGATAAAGCTCAGTGACCTATTGTTTTGTTTCCTTTTGTGTGTGTGTGTGTGTGTCTGTGTGTGTCCTGAGAATAAGGGATACAAATGCTGTAAGATACTGGACTGAAGTAAAAAAAAAAAAATCCTTTTTTACCAGGGCTTTTTCCAGGTTAACTGACATATGAAAGATAATTGCATGCAATTTTAGAGAAGCATCGCTAATGGAAATGCAAGCAGGTTGGAAAGGATTCAAGTACTTGATTTCTTACCACTGGGGGATTTTCTCATCTTGAAAACTGTTTCAAGCCTAGAATCACAAATCCCTCTGACAGGATGCCAAAAAAGAAGGTGGGAAGGAGGTTGCCTTCCCAGATAGCAGTTACTGCAAGTCAGGTAGTTCAGAACCACATACCCAAGACTTGCTGAATCACAGGTGTGCAGAGACTTTCAAGCCCACAGTGGCACAGTTAAAATTTGGAGGAAGAAGAACAACCATTTTTTTTAAGGTAAAATTTCACGATAAGTTTCCTTATCAGTTACTTCTAGAAATCTTATTAAAAAAAAAAACACAACCTTTTTTTTCTATATTGAAGAATTTGACTATTTGAGATTGTTAAATGACAAACACAGTGTAAATCAGTGTTTTAGCTACGTGCTCAAGTCCCAGCAGGACTCCAACTTCTGAAAACACTCCTGATACTGTGCAGCTTCAGTGCAGTCAAAACAAATCATGGGGAAAAAAGCTCTTGGAAAAATCCTAAATTAGCTTCAATACTAAGCAGTAATTTAGCCATTACAGGAGGCAACTCAGTGTTATTTTGTCGTACATGTGCTCGCTCTGGACTGAATCAAGGTTTTTGTGACCTGCGTCAGAATTTCTTCTTCTTTTTGGAGACCAGCTAGCTTGAAGCTAGCCGATGGACATTCAAACAAGCTCTCCATGTTTTCAGGCCTTCAAATATGTTACGTCCTAGTTCAAAAAGCTTAAGAGGCAGCTGTATCATCTTAATTAATCATATTCTCATAAAACTTTAAGAGAAGCAGTCCTGATGAAAGGCAAACAAAAAATTTGTTTTGCAGTTGAAGCAGTAATTGTGATGTGATGCTAATTTAGTCATTCGCTATTATCATTTCATATTGTCTTAGAAAAGCTTTCTGTAACTGAAATGTGGTATACAATGTCAAAAGGAGAGCTTCTGGACTTCCACTGTTTTCAGCTTGGATTGTAATTAATGTATGTGAGCTGATATTCCCAAAGGTTATGTGAATTCACATGTAAGATATATCTGTGCATGGATTTGGTCCACAGACACTTTCAAGCTGTAACAAACAAACAGCCTGTTTTTTTTAATCAGTGCAAG